GAGACGAGTGAGCTAGTTAAAGTTTTAGCTTTAGCGATTCATACTATATGTATAGCTTACAATTGTTTAATAAAGCATATATAACTAGCCTGACAGAGGGTTTAAAAAAAAAAAAAATAGTATATTTATTTTTTTTTTTATTAAATTTTTACTTTTAAATAATTTTAATTGAATATTATTGTAAATCTTATAATAATTAATAAAAAAAAATAAATATATTTAATGATAATAAAACTTTAAAAATTTTTTTTAAAAATATAAGAAATAGAATAAATATTAAGGCATAATATATGTGAATTTTATAATTTTTAATTATATAATTAAAGATTTAAAGTTGAAATTTATAATAAAAACATAATAAATAGACTCATACTTTTGAAAGTAACCATAAATATATACTTATATATTTGATTAATTTATAAAAAATTTCAAATTCAATAATTAATAAAACATTGGTTTGTAAATTAAAATTTTTGAAAAAATAAAATATTGTTTTTTAAAAATTTTTTTAATATCTATATATTAATTTTTTAATTAATAAAAGTAATATTTATTATTTAATTATTACTATAAAGTTTTATCTTTATTTTATGGTTAAACATCTATAAAAGAACTTTATAAAGGAGTCATCTCTCATAAAAAAACTCTTTCATAATTCTATATAAAAACATCTCTACAGTAAGATAAAAGAAACTGTTAAGTTATATTTCACGCAACTACCCTTCAGATTTTTCTATATCGACCACCGGAAATATTCAATGTCCCACTTGTTTTTTAGGATGGAATTTCTGCAGGGGAAAAAAAATCAATGATCTCCGAATAAAGTGTGAGAATATTTAAATCTTTCCTTTAAAACCGGAAATCCATCCTGAAAAAAAAAATCAGCCAATCCAATTTCGGAATTGCGTGTAACAGTTTCCCTTTGAGTCACCATTAGATGTTAGTTGTTTTTGACCTCATATAAATTGTATAAATTAATCTTCCCATGGTTCAATGGGATTGCCCCAAAATTTTTTACCAATAATACCCTAATAATACGGATATTGATCTGTACTTTTCTTTGCGGTTGGTTCCCAGCGATATATCCATATTACATTACCCCTTCAATATGCCGGTGTGCACATCCTGCCATCAAACTAAGCAAGACGAGGCTTTCTTTCACAAGAACAAAAAGTGGAAAACTTGCCAAAATTGTATCGAACAAAGGGCACTCAAAAAACAAAAAACAAAGAGAAAACGCGATGACCAAGCGGTTGAAGAGGAGGAACCATTACGAGTTTCTCTTAGAACTGTAGGACTCATGGAATTATCCAACCTGGTCGCTAATGAGATACGCAACATAGTTCATAACCCTCAACCCATCGGTCCTGACGGAAACCCACAGTGTTCTTTGAACTTACGTGTAGCTCTTAACCTCACGAATATGATAACCGGCAATGAAAATCCCAAAGATATTGCCAGGTGGATTGTCGAAGAAATTGAAAGAGCCGATGAGTATAATTGGACGTAAGTATTTTCCTTCCAACTATATTTATTTACGATAATTTTAATGATAGTTTTAAATAATTATTACCTATTTTATGTATTTTTTTCTCTGTTCGAAATGATTTTAACATAGTTATAATTGTATGAACACCTCAATGCGTCACAAAGATGTTGCAAAGTTCTACTATGTTTGCAGTCAATCTCTAGTTGCTATGAAAGAGTACAAAGAGGGATCAAATAGGAAACGGATGGAACGCTTCCCATGTCAAGGAAAAATGCAAATGAAAATTGATATGCCGGCTGCCGAGGCAATGTTAGAAATTCATCATGGTATTCTTCATAACCGACCAACTGTCACCTCCGAAATTAGCGAAGAGTGTAAAAAAGAGATCGACGAAAATCTCCATTGCAACCCCATTCATCTACGACAAATACTTCGGACCAAAAATGTTATGAAAAATTACACCCCTCGACAAATTCATTCATATTGGGAAAGGGCTGCGGGCAATAAACTTCCGGATCTCGTTTCGCAATTTTCTGTTGCACAAGTTATCCCATCTCCTGTAATTACTACGAACATCGATAGCGGCTTTATTATACCGACCATGGCAGCCATTCCATATCCATCCCTACCTCCGATGCCTATTGTATCGAGTACACCAAATCCCACTTTGCAAAAAAGCAGTTCGAAAGAACTTCCGAAAGTAGGAAATCGTCAATTTAATCACGATGAATTTGCAGAGTATGTGACAAAGATGGAACAATTTGCAAAGAGATGCAGGAATCAACTAGATCGCCAAAATTATACCTGGTTGGATACTGTGAAAATATTGACGGCCGGTGTCATTGAGATGGAGAATGACATTGAAGAGCTGGAAAGACAACGCGCAAGTGAAAGGGGAGCCACAAAACCATGGACAATTCATTACAAATAATTCCTTCCAAACATATTTATTTTTTATGCATATGCATATATGTATTTTGTAATTCCTTCAATAAACCTCTCGCTTCTTGTACTTAAAAAACCTAAAGGAGGAAAGATTCGATGTTACGGACACAACCCTGAATACTTTAATGTTTTGGTGAAAGAGGCGGTTAGGTTCAATTATGCAATTCAATTCACCTTTACGCGAGTTTTTTTTTTTTGATTTTTTTTAATAATTTCTTTTATTTTTTTTTTTTTTTTTTTTTTTTTCCTTTGATTTTAAATAAAATTTTGTTAAATTCGTAAGTGGAATGCGTCAAGATAGTATTCTTAGTATTTCCAGGGCCCTAGCAAACTTCGTCGTGGATTCTAATGTCTCGGCGCTTTTCTCTTCACCTTTGTCTCCGTCTGCGGATTCCAATTCTGATTTGTTGACGATGGCCTGGGCTTCCCTTGATGTAGACTGGATTATTAAAATGATTAATAATTTGACAAATTTAAATGGCGATATTATAATGTCGAGTCGAAATCGTACTTCACGTGCTTGACCCGCTAGATCCGCTATGTAATCCAAGAAAATCTTAAAAAAGTCATCAGGGAACTTTTTTTTGTTGAAATGGTTAAGAAACGAATTCTAGTGATCGATAAAGATCAAATTCAGTCGATCGACGGAACAATACTTGATACCATATCTTTATCGTATACATGTTTCAACAACCAGACTTGACGCAATTTTTGAAATCTCCATTCTGATCTACGAAACTTCCAACAGACAAGATAAAGTAATGCTTGAAATAAAAATAAAGATATACAAAAACCCGATTGGTAAAATGAATGCACATTGCACGCGAATTTTTGACAGATATGAAAGCACCTATTTTAGCAGCCGTTGGCAATTCATTAGGAATGCTTATTTCGGACTGCGCTACCAATAATTCCAAATTCTCCGACGTGTTTTCTGTTGATTCATTATTCTTTTCTTTTGACGGTTTCAATTTCTTCTTCCTTCTAGAGGTTCCGGTACCTTTTTCTTCGATGTCAAAATTATTTTGTTCCTGAATCTTTGAGTCTATCAAGCTTACATCATCTATAGGACCTCTTTTTAGTTTTAAATCATTCTCTCCTGCCCTACTGTTCTTCCCGACTGCCTCCGTCGAACTTGTACTTTTCAAAGTGAGAAATTTCTTCCAGTTCGGAACGTGTTTCTGAGTGTTTCCGTCTTTGAGATCAGACATTCGTTACGTGTGGAAGAAAGTGTTCCAGCGTATTTTGTAAATCGATGCACGTGCGGAGTCAGGTGTTAATGATTACGTATTACTAGTACTGTTCATAAATTCGGGATAAACCAGTTTAATCTACTCTTCCTTCATTTTCTCTTTGTTACCGAAAATCACTCTTATTTAGTACGTTTGATAGTACTAGATACTCCTCCAAGTGATTAGATGGGTAAGGATTATTCCGTGTAATAAATGAAGGTCGAGTCCTCAATAAAAAAAAATTATTCTATCTAAATAGGCGCATATCTGAGTAGAATCTTGGGACGATTATGGGGCGAAAAGGAAGTCCGAATACTAATTTTAGGTCTTGATGGGGCCGGAAAAACTACGATATTGTATCGGTTACAGGTAGGAGAATTTTTTCTTTGAAATATGTTTTAGACGCATTATTAGTTATCAGTATACGAACATTTTCTGTTTGAATAGATCGATCATATATTAATTCTGAAGATTACCGCCTAATAATTGCACGTTCGTTTTATTCATTTAGATTGGAGAAGTTGTAACAACCATTCCAAGTGGGTAAAATTATTTAATTACGTATTTGAATAATTTTCGGACTCCACCATTTCACAGTCTCACGGCATTGATCCACGATTTACTCGATAGCTATTGGGTTTAATGTTGAAACTGTAACGTATAGGAATATTAAATTTCAAGGTAATTCAAAATAGTTTATTTCCCTAGTTATTTGCATACATATATTTTTTCTTATAGGCTTTTATTTCGGCAGTTTGGGATTTAGGAGGTGAGAACTGCTAAATCGAATTTCAGTAAATATTGTGGAGTTATTATTTTCCGTAGATTATCTTATTAATCCATTATTGTAATTGTTATTGATCTAATTAGGTCAAACAAGTATAAGGTTTTTATCATTCTTTAATATCGTTTTTTATATCCTCATTATGATAACGTTACATAACATTATTCAAGGCCTTATTGGCGGTGTTATTACGCAAACACCGATGCGGTAATATATGTGGTAGATTCCGTAGATCATGCTCGTCTGAGCACCTCAAGAGAGGAGCTTCATGCCATGCTAGAGGAGGATGAATTACGTGATGCTGCATTACTAGTGTTTGCCAACAAACAAGATATGGTTGGCGCGATGTCCTCCGCTGAAGTTTCAGATGCTCTAGGCTTAGGAACGTTAAAAAATCGACAATGGAGCATTTACAAAACAAGTGCGGTAAAAGGGGATGGTCTAACGGAGGGTCTAGATTGGTATGTTACGTTTTTCTTTTTCTTTTAATCAAAAATATTTTTTCGAATTGAATTTAAATTATTTTTATGCACTTCCTATTAGGCTGGTAAACATTATTCAGGGCAGTAAACAATGAATAAATAACAATTAAAAATTAAAGCCTTTAATTATACTCGTTGTTTCCAACTTCAACTAAATTTTCGACATGGCCTATTATAGCAAATATTTTATTTATGAAACCATTATAATATATATATATGTATGTATGTATGTATGTATAATTGCACCTTAAACTTACTTTCAAAGGAAAACCTGTAAACATGTAGAACAATCACTATTAGTATTAATAACATTGTTTTTTTTTGTCGTAATGTAATTTTCTATTTTTTAAAGAACTAAAGCATTTCAAATCATTTATTAGAATAAACTTTTTATTGCAGAATCTAAATATAAATTTCTGGAATCAGATGACTTGAGCATTCAGATGAGAATAAAAAACTTTAATAATAAGTTGTTCAAATAAAAATACCAATAGTACTGTAAGAGGTTTTAGATAGGAAAAATTAAAAAAAAATCATATTGTCAATTTTTAGTAAATAAATTTATATTAAACTTTTATATAGCAATAATTATATTAACTTCTATCAATCATTGTTTATAACATAAAATTTTAATAAAATAAAATTTTTAAAATCTATACAAAACATTTTTTTTTATAAGTTTTTGTTTTTTTTTAATCTTTCTTTTAAAAATTAAATTAATCTATTATATTTTTATTATAAATTTCAACTTTAATAATTTCCAATTTATATTTAAAAAAAATTTTTTTAAAAATTCTTTGATCAAATTAATTGTATATATTTTATTACATTTTTTTTTTTTTTTAACCCGCAGTCAGGTTAGCATGGCTTGTCTTTATTGTATATATATTAGATATTTATAAATTATTTTGACTTTTATATACCAACTCACCCATCATCAAAAAACTATTTCTCTAGATGCAACTTAGGGAATAATATTTCACTTCTTTACTGACTTGAATAAATCCTCTAGTCAATAAGATCATTGTCTACAGGTTATTACTGTAGATTATTTTAAATTCCAATTACAGTTAAAAATCAAATTATTTCCTTCCATAACAAATCCAATCCTTGATAATTTCTATATACTTCATTTTCTCCTTTCTTCCAGAGACTTCTTGTTCCAGATTTTCTGCAAGTATGGATTCTTCTTTCTATTCTTGTATAACCTGCATAATGGATCGGTGCCCATATCTTTTGATTTGTTTGTTCTTTTTAGTAATATTCTGCTTCTTTTCCCACTCTATAACTTTTTTGTAGCAGTTATTCCATATATTTTTCTTGAAATTTTTTCTCTTTTTATAACAAAGCTTATCGATTATACTTTATATGACTGTTGGGGGAATTTTGAGTTGTACTTTGGGATAATTTTTCAAGGAGGTGGTTTTGTTCTCTTCTATGTATCCACAAATAGTGTTGAAAAGGCTTCTATTAGATCACTGAATCTCATTTAACCATTTACTTGTCCAGTTATTGGTTAAGGATAGACTTCTTCTTTGTTTTTGATTTCTTTACTAATATATCAGTTAATTTTTTCCTTTGCTTTTCTCTATATATCCTCTCTGATTTCTTTAGTGACTAAACATTCAAACAAGTATTCTAAAGTTTCTATTTGACGTTCATATACTGGACATATTATTATGGTATAAATATCTGGTTTTTTTTTCTTCAATATTTGTAATACTGGAAGTTCATTATGAATCAGGTTAGTTAGAAAGCTTTTGTTTTTATTATCTTTGAAAATGATATCAAAGGTATTGAATGGATTGAACTAATTCCAGAAGGTCAACCAGTCTATGATTTTGTCATTTTAGATCTACAGTTCTTGAATTCTTTTCTGTGTTGTCCAATCTTTTTCTATCTTTTTCTTGTTGAACATCTTGACAAATTCTTTAATACTAATATCTATCATGTGCTCTCTTCATATGACTGTTGTCAGAACTGTCCCTAACTCTAGTAGTTGGTACCAGATTATTGGATTTTCATTTTTAGCTTGTTTGGCAAGCAGATCTACTTGGTTATTGAACTTATCAATTCTCTGGGCTTTGATCTTTATAATTTCCAAGGTGAGATCTTTCTTTTTAATTAAATTTTTGATTCTACTCCATAATAGTCAATTAGCAGTCTTTGTCCATCTTCTTGTTGATATCTCCACTTGTGCACTGATAGACTTCTATATCTTAACTGCAGTATTACTGTTGTATTTCGAAGAGCTGTATACTGTATATTGTAATTAAAATAACCAATATTTCTGCCCTAATTGTCAATGGTCATGTTGATACCCCTACTGAAAATTGCTTCACAACTTTATTGTCTTCTACTAGAACCCAAGCCAAACCCATTTCAAGCTTGCTATATTTCGTCCCTTTTTTATATGACCCATTAGTGTAGAAAGTAAACTGAGTAACTATACTCCTTCTATTATAATTCAAGACATCTATAAGTTTATCTATATGTTCATTTAATTGAATAACTTGTCTTATTAGTATGGCTTTCCAGTTTTCTACCTGGATTTCCACTTCTGATCTAGACATTAGTAAAGTTCTTGCTTATTGCTTTGTAACTATAAGCCAATCTATAGAATTGCCAAGTAGAAGAACTTGTTTTCCTTTTCTTAAATTTTCATATTTGTTTAGCTGTAAAAGAAGATGGACTTGTGATATACCTACTTCTTTTACTTGGAATAATTTATCTGATTGGAGTAGAGTATAGTTACTAGTAGGGTTGTATGTCAACTGGTATGGAACAAATTGAATTTTGTTATTCAAGAACGATGTCTTTTCCAATCTGTCTATTGGAAAGCTAGAGCAGGCTGCCCAGTATGTTTTTTTTCTATCTGGATAAGTTGGAAAAGCTTCAGTTTGGATATTGTAGCCAATTCAGTCTAATCCGTACAATGACTTTCTTAGTAGGTCATAATTCTCTGTCATCTTTTCTCAGACCTTTTTATATCAAGAGGGAATTGGACCTTTGCATTTGTTGAAAAGAATCTGGATTGTTCTTCATTCCTTGAGCATCATTGTAGTTGAATTGATAATTTGATCTAGGAATATAATCTTGTGCTTATGGAGTGTTAGAATGGCTTTCTCATATTCTCTACTATTCTGCTGTATTGACTTAATAGATAAGATACCTCCTTGATGATTAAAGATTTCCTTCCATCTCCAACTTTGAAAGATAATTTGTAATTCTTTGGTTAGAATCAATATTGCAGCTGCCAGATTTCCTTTGGGCATCTTATATGAGTTCATAGAATTATCTAAGATATTTTTAGGTTTCCAGCTTTTGATTTGGCTCTATTTCAATCAGATTATAGTAGCCAAACCAGAGACCTTACTGTTGTTGAGTTGACAGAATAGTGCTAATATATGGCTTTCCAACTGTATTTCCCAGATACTTTTGAGATTGTAAATTTGTTTATTATGGATATAACTATTTGGTATTATTCTACAGATTAATGCTTTGTTCTTGAAAATCTTTCTGAACATAACTGTGAGTTCATCACATGTCTTCTTATTCAGGTGTGTATATTGTATTCTATATTCTATTCTAGGAATCAGTACTCTATTGATAACATAACGAGCATGTTTCTTTGTCAACTTTTTCTTAAATATTGTCTGAACTACCATCCTGGTTTCAGATTTTATTAGATTAATTATATCCTGACTTTTCTGTTTTGGTTCTAACCAAATGCCAAGAAATCTGGCCTAGTCCTTTTTATCAATTTCATTAATCACGATATTCTCTATTCCAGCTTGAACTCTTTCAGGATCTTGAGGATTTTAATTGATAGTAAGAAGAATTGACTTTGTTGCATTAATTTGTTAATAATTTGCTATGTAGAACTTTTTTGCTTCCTCCAAAATACTTTCCAAGTCTTTCTTGAATATGACAATCCATGTTGTATTATCTATATAAACTATTACTGCCTATTGAAGGGAAAGCTTAATCTTCTCATTAGGTTTATAGAAGTTGGGTGACTATTCTTCTTCCATGGTATAACCCAGGTCAGTATTATTTTGATTTTATATAGCTTATACTCTTTATTTACTATGAAATAATGTTTACATATATGCTTATTACATGGTAAATATATTACACACTATGTACAAACTAGTCCAGACCTGACCAAAGTTTATTTGAGAAAGAGTGTATAACACTATTTTAATTTTTCCTAGAATAATTTTATAGAATAATCTAGTTATCAAACCATTGTATACTATAACCTGAACCAGGATTTGATCTTTCGGTGTGATCTACCAAATTCCTCTTCCACCAAGGTTTCCTGATAAATACTAGTTACTGAATTGGTTATGCTTTCAAGCATCCCACCGGTACAATGTTTACTTTATTTTAGAACTTTGGCCTTCTTAACTTGATTGCTTCTTTCAGTCAATAAGATCGCCAAAGTGCTTCTTGTCAATCTGATTTCTATCCTAGTTAACTACAAGATCAGCCTATTCTTTTCCATCTTATCAGGGTAATAATAAGATACTGATCATCTATAATACCTATAGACTGGCCTGATCTAGTAAAGATCAGTTATCGATGACATCATGTTATGGTGGAGATCTATTTCAGATATTGATAAAATAGCCAGGACTATACCCAATAACAAATATTGATTTGTTATCCATTGGATTTTTTTATTGTGTGTAATATTTTTTACATGGCCTTCATGTGGTATTAAACTTCAGACCTTGTAATTGTGATCTGGAAGCACTACTACTGTGTTATTGACCCACAGATCTATATATATTTTATTACATATTTAAATAAACAACAAGAAAAGGAAAAGAAAAAAATTAAAAAAAAAGATTTCCAGTTTCTTCCAAAGATCTGCTTTTCAAAATATCTTCTTAATAAGAAATGTTCAATTGAGATATCATTTCTTTTCCTAACAATTTGAGAAACTTATATATTTTTTATCTTAATTTCCTTCTTATATATTATTTGAGAAGACTTATTGTCTAGTGGGAACCTTTATTTCTAGAATACACTTGGTTTTAACCTTTTTTGGATAGTAATTTTTTATACACCTGTAATAGAAAGATAA